GATGCCATGACATCGTTAGTCACGAAACGGCTTGCATTGAATTTGATTAATTCTTCTGTGATTAGTTCTTGAGAGAGAGCACAGAATGAAGCTAATGTTTGAAAGAAACGGCCACCTAACTGACGAAAATCTCCAAAGAAAATACGGTGATGCAGTTGTGAATCATCGATGAGCAATGTCCAAGCTGTTGTAACATATACACTTTGACATATTTGATGAAAACGTGCTACTCGCACATTAACAAATTGGTCGTAAGTAAGAGAAATAGTCGTGTAAGGACATGAAAGCGATTGCGAATATTGAGAATATATACGTGAATATTGGTCAAGTGAAGGCGAACGAATGGTAACTATCGTGTTGATGGGTACTTGAGATGTATAAATAACCAGTACAAATAGAGAAACAAAGAGAAAACCCAGAAAGACACGTGTGGAAATAATCTGAGTCCGTAAATCATAAGCATTGACGATGACTTGTTCATGCCTTGAAAAGAATATATTCAAAAGGCGTATCTTTTCTTTTCCTTTGTTCCAATATTGACGTATATCATTTATTTAAAGTCAAAATCTAACATAATATCGATAAGATGAGTTTTTTTTTGTTTGAAATTGTTGTAGTAATTGAATTATGGGAATGATAAATGCATATGAGATATAATTATGTAAGTAGATCGTATTTCCATTTCTTTGTTTGAAATTGATATTCTTTTGTTGAGGGAAGAAGAGAACATAAATCTTAAGCAAAAGAAATAAAGAAAATTGAAAAAAGTTTATAAATCATTGTTGTCTAGTTAATTAATTTAAGAATATTGTCGACGTATTGTTTATTTCATATGAATACATAGATACGATAGATTGATCTAATCGATAAATTAGTCTTTTCTTTTCATTTTATGATCACACATAACAAATGTCTTTTGCTTTTGTAATTATATTTTTAATTTTGATAAATTATAAATTTAGATAATTTGAGTCAGTTATAAAACTATTTTTACTACACTTTTATACTATTTTATGCACATCAAGGGTTTTTATATAAAAAACTCTGAAAGAACAATATTTATTCAGAACTGTTTGTCTGAAATAAGGGATTTGGTTAAAAAAATTATTCATCAAGCCCAGAATAACTTTTCTCTTCTGTAGACCTGTGTAATGGATATAACTAGATCATTTCATAGTTGCTATTAACATATTTTCCATTATTTCGGAGAATTAATGAAGTTCTATGATTTTGTATTGTATGTAGACATAAGAAGAAATATCCGATATTTAAATCAACAGTATACGTTTTCTTTTTTCACCGTCTCTACCGATTATCAATTACGAGTATTCATACATTTTTGTTAGTTTAGATCAAATTCAACGTTCAATATACTGAAAGTAACAAGAAACTATTTTTCTAATTATTGTTATATCTGCGATGAATAATTACCTATTTATTTCTTTTATTTTTTTTTGTAACATTTGATTTTGAAGGTATAATTAAAACTGTTACTTAATATGTTGTTAAATAAGAGAGAAATGGAAAAAGAGAGAAAGACTAATTAATAGTATAGCATTTGTGTTTTCTTAATATTCTAGCATATCACAATATTTTACTGTTCATTCTAAAATCAGATCGACACAATGGTAGATAGTAACAAACGAGTGTTTTGGCATTTTACATTTAAAGATATATTAACTATTCTATGTTCAGCTGCTATACCCATAGCCCTGGCTATTTATACTGCAATTGGGTCTCAGCAACAAAAACAAGAAGCGGAAAAAACACGACAGTTTGATTTAGAACAAGCAGAAAAATTAAGACAACAAACACTTTATGATGAGTTTTTAAATAATATTCTTAAATTGGATAATTATGGTCATCTGAAGGAGAGAAAAAAACCATGGGCATTTGCTAACGCATATTATCGTGCTGCTGATCGTCAATGGGATACAATACGTAAGGCAGATGTTTTAAAATTTCTTAAAGAAAAACAATTAATTGGTAGAAATAATTGTACTAATGGATGTAAAACAACAAATTTAGATGATATAATTCGTTTAAATGAGTTAAACTTTGATAATGTACGTTTAGCAAGTCAAACAGGTGTATTAAATAAGTTGGATTTACAATGCATTTCTTTTGATCAGATATCAATGTCAAATGGGGAGTTTTCATTTGTTAATTTAAATGGTGCATTATTTGAAGGAGCAAGGTTAGATAACGTGAAATTTGATGGTTCGTCTTTCCTTTGTACTAGTTTCAATGATGTAAATCTATCAAGAGCAGATTTTGGAAACTCAAATCTGACAGGTGCACACTTTTCGAATAGTGATTTGTCAGGAGCTAAAATAACGAAAGATCAAATAAACCAGGCATCTTTTGATAATGTAATTATGCCAAACGGAGAGAAAAGTGAGATTACATCATCAACGGCAACAAAAAAACCTATAACACAAACAACAACAATAATAAAAACAAAAATGCCGACAACTACACCATCATCATCAACATCATCATTATCAACATCATCATCAACAGAAGAAACATCATGGACAGCAACATCAATCGGTCAGTAATATGCTACACAAATCATAGTACTCTTTTTAGTTGCCAAGCAATCAATTCTTGTTCGGTTTGAGAAACTATACTCTTAGAACTTCTTGTTTCTTATTTGCTGAATATTTATGATGATGATAAGTAGTTTTCAGACAACATTTTCTTTTGGATACTATTTTGAAAGTTAGGCTTATTATATGTTTGCGGTATTGCTGAAACAATTTTATTTATTTTTACTTTTATGAGACAGGTTTGTGTAGAATCAAATCCAGAATCTTTTAAGGGAGAACTCTGCTCGATGCGACAGCAATTGGAGATAGGTCCATGCGATACAAAATTATTCAATTTTAACTGTATATGTAAATGTTGACCTTTCTTTGTTAGATTTAACTTTTCTGTAGATACTTATAGCATCAAAAGTATTAAAGGGGCTATTATTTTCTGTAGAAAAGTAAAAGAAGACAAGTTTCATTTCTCCTAGACCCGTCTTGTTCAGTTTCAACTTCTTATATAAACCTCAGAAAGAATCAATCATTATTATTTTATACTCCAAGCTATTCTATGTCTGTTCGTTTTAGTGAAGAGATTTTTCAGTGCACTCAAATAAATCGACCTATTAAATGATTCGAAGATCTTCGTTGGATTCATTTGGTATGACTAAATTTGAACAGTAGTATATTTTTAGTGGAAACATAATCTAGTTACTGTTCTAAAGTGTTAGCTCGTCACAACATGTATTCGTTAGAATATGTTTAGAATATCACAAAACTAATTTTGTATTGAAAAGACATCGCAAAGAATGATATCAGACGAATAAACGAATGCAGAAGAGACAAATATATTAACTGAATTCGAGATTAATAATTGTGCTAATGTCGAAATAGAATTGAAAAAACGATGAAAGTAGCGGAATTGTAGAAGATCGCAATTAGTCATAAACATAGTGGAATGGTTTAATTGGTTTGCTTTTAGTTAAGACAAACTGTTGCAGATTAAATAGAATAAGACGATGAAATACTGTTTTTTAATGATAAAAACTGTAATTGAAATCTTTTTTTCTTGTTTACCAGCTTATAAAAGTATATTTCTCAATCAAACTACGTACGAAGTTGGTAAAGGTCCATGGTCAGTAGCAGTAGCTGATGTGAACAGTGACAATAAACCTGATATTGTTACTGCAAATATAGATTCAAACACCGTCAGTGTTCTTCTCAATACAGGCAACGGCACTTTTTCTCCTCAAACTACTTACTCAGTGGGTGTATATCCACGATCAGTAGCAATAGCCGATGTGAACAACGACAGTAAACCCGATATTGTTACTGCAAACCAGGCTTCAAACACCGTTAGTGTTCTTCTCAATTCAGGCAACGGTACTTTTTCTCCTCAAGCTAATTACTCAGTTGGTGCAACTCCAATGCCTGTAGCAATAGGCGATGTGAATGGCGACAACAAGCTCGATATTGTTGTTGGAAACTGGGATTCGAATACGGTCGGTGTTCTTCTCAACACAGATAATGGCACTTTTTCTGCTCAAATTACTTATTCAGTTGGTGCAGGTCCAACGTCAGTAGCAGTAGCCGATGTAAACAATGACAATAAATCTGATATTGTCACTGCAAATTTGGTTTCAAACACCACCAGTGTTCTTCTCAACGTAGGCAACGGCACTTTTTCTCCTCAAACTACTTACGCAGTTGATGAAAGTCCAGTGTCAGTAGCAGTAGTCGATATGAACAACGACAATAAACCTGATATTGCCACTGCAAATAGAGATTCAAACACCATTAGTGTTCTACTCAACATAGACATCGGCAAATTTTCTCATCAAACTACTTACGTAGTTGATGAAATTCCAGTGTCAGTAGCAGTAGCCGATGTGAATAGCGACGATAAACTCGATATTGTCACCGCAAATCAAGGTTCAAACACCATCAGTCTTCTTCTCAACGTAGGCAGCGGTATTTTTTCTCGTCAAACTACTTACGCAGTTGGTCAAGGTCCAGTGTCAGTAGCAGTAGCTGATGTGAACGATGACAATAAACCCGATATTATCGTCGCAAACTATGGGGGTAATACCGTCAGTGTTCTCCTGCAATCTTAAAATTTATTTCTCCATCATATTCAACATCCTTATTGACATTTTCTTACTCTACTAACAACATTATTCTATGATTAACCACTCGGCAATATGGAACGAATGGCAATGTTCGTTCGATTCGAAAACTTTCTCATTATCAATCTTTCACTCAAACTCATTAATGCTTACACTTTCAGCTTCTTGTAATGTTTTTTTGCTTGAATCAATGGAAATCAAACTCATCCTATCTTTTTACGAAAAGAATAGTCTGAGTACATGGATGAGGATGTGATTGGATGTGGATATGAAGAATCACATCAGTATCCACTCGCACCAGGTTCCTTAGTACTGGAAACTGATGAGAAGTGCCGACTATGAACTGTCAATTGATTAGTTTGTGAGTTTGATCACATTTTACAATTGTTTTTCATTATATATTATTTATCACTAATAAATATATTCAATTAAACACTTCAGTTTGTATATCTTGTTGATAAAGAAAATAATGTTAAAAGAGTCTCCTTAAGAAAGCCACACCCACCCTCTATGGCATCATTACCCCACAACACACATAAGTGAATATTAAAAGAAATCGATCAAAGAACAATAACATGGCCACAAATGATCAGAAACTTGTAATACTAAATAAAAAAGATCAGAGTATTTATATATTACACTGTGATTTATACTAAACTATTCATAGAAATTAAATTTTGTTATTTTACGATGAGTATTTAGAATAATTTTCTTTGAGTTTCGATTCGGTTACAGCTCTGCCATCGATTACAACAAAATCTCTTTCATTTTAAAAGAATGATAAAAAGTAGATTCACCATGCTTAGCTAGTTCGTAAAAGTATATAATCCAGATGAAAGATCCTAAAACAAAATTCATGTATCATATAATATACTTCCTTTACTCAAACAATATTATTGTCATCTATTTTCTCCGACGTATTTACCGATTTTTAGATTTAAAAATGAATTTAAAATTAAGATATATTTACGTTTCATACTAAAAATGGCATTCTAGTTTCAATAAAAATATTTTCTTGAACTAAAACCAAATATCCGAATGTCCGTTATTTTTTTTTCTAATATTTTAATCTAAAACAAAAATTCAATACTTAAATAAATGATTACAAAACCGACAAGAACAAAAGAACTTTTATGTGTTAAACCAGACAACTAGCGCCTTCTGTCGGATATCTTGTAATTGGAGTATTTATTTCATTTCAAAGATTTTTATGTTAGGTACTTATGTATAATATTTCTGAATCACTTAGTGATTTAACTTGTCTTCGAGATATGGTATTTATATACATATCTATTCTTTCTTTGAAATATTTTACCAATAAGATGATTTTCTTGTTTGTCATAGTTTAACCCTATTTCATTTGTTTACTTTTTCGAATTTCAAAATATTTAAAAGTAAACTAAATCATCAAATTAGAACATGATTATATGTAAGATTAAGAAATTTTTTTCTATAAGAATGTTTTTCTTTCCTGATTAGTCATTAAAGAATTATTATACAATAGATAAATACATTTTAATAATTCGTTATAAAACGTGCTTAAATAATATATATACTGATAGTCATTTTAAGTATATTCACAGTTGATAGATTCAATTGGTCATCAAATGAACAATAATCTAAATGATGAGAAGCGATCGTCGATCGATATTTACTGTCTACCCTATATGAACTTTATTTATGGCTTTGTCGTCTTTTTAACGGACGCATATTCTTTATTTATCTGATGGAGAAGAAGAAGAATTCTATATGTTATTTTTTAGATCATTTTTATATTTTTTTTTTGTAAATGGAATCAATTCAATCTCAGGTACCATCAGTTGCATTATTTGTCACTGTAAGTTTCTTTTTTTATTCAAATATAAAAGAAAATATTTTTTTTTGATGTTTTTAGCGATCAGAAATTGATTTTACTCATCGTTCACCAAGTCCAATATGTCAACGATGGTTTATGGTTTTATATCTTAAATCAGAAGCTAAAGAACTTGCATTAACTGTATGTTATTTATTTAGTTCTATTCATTTATTGATTAAATCTATTTCTTAGGTTTATCCAGTCAATATGAAAAATCCTGAACAAGAATTTAAAAAAGCCTATAATTCCAATCCACCTGTTGTTGTATTCGATGAATTAAATGATAAAACATCTCAAACTGTTCTCACTGATAATCGTGATATTGATGCTGAAATAAGTAAACGTTTTCCAGTTACAAATATGAGTTCTTTAAAAGAAGCTGAAGATGTTTGTTCAAATGTTTATATTAAATTTCATCCATATTTAAAATCTCCATCAGGTGATCCTCAAGAACAAATGAAATTACGTTCATTATTAAGTGAATTAAAACGTATCAATGATTATCTTGAAGAAATGGGTACACAATATCTTTCCGGAAATGAAATGACATTTGTTGATTGTGATATTATGCCTAAATTACAACATATACGTGTTGCCGGTAAATATTATAAAAATTTAGATATACCAAGTGAATTAAATTCATTATGGTCATATATGGAACGTTGTTATCAAACAAAAGCATTTCAAGAATCATGTCCATTTGATCAAGATATTTTAATGCATTATGAAGGCAAAGTTGGTGGTAATAATAAACCATTTGGTAAAACACCAACATTACAACCACCAACAATGACATTAACAATTCCAGGACGTGAAATCAGTGAATAAATCAAAAAAGCAGATATATATGAATGACGTTTCTTTTTTTCTATGTGTATATTTATGGTCTATTTAGCAATCTCATTTTCTTTTTTTTGCGTTATATTGTCAGCTTTTTATATTATCGAAAGATGTTGAATGATTGATAGATGATGATGAAATCTTTTGCAACAAAAAAAACTGGTCAAATAAAAGTGTTTCGTCTTTTTCCTCTTTTTTATTTTATATATTTAGATTTTAGATCATAATTAAATAGAATTGATAGGCAAAAATATGATGGAAGACGCACAAGAAAAAGATATGGTATTTATTTAAATTATTTTCTTTTAAGACGATTTCTCCTCTTTATAAAAATTGAGTTTAACGCTTTTTCTACATGAAGAGAGATACATACAAAACTCTTGTCGCACATACAGGGTACATTAATAGAAGAACAGATGTACCTTTAGCGAAATGATTATTAGAGAATCTTCATAATAAGACGTAAACCTCAATAATATTTTTTGTTTTATTCGTTTAGGATCAAGTTGCTAGTTTTAAAAGTGGTAAATCATTGACAATTACTGGAAAACAGTATAATGTATGTTCAAAAAATCCAGTGACAAATATACTTGCTTCATCGAATCGTTATGGTTATGTTTTTTATGCTACGGAAACTGATGGTCTTGCTATAATTCCATCCGGATATATCGATCAAGAATCTCATCATTTAAGTAAAACACCTGATGATGATCCTAATGATAATATAAATACAACATTTGACAAAAATTCGATTATTCGTCGATCATATTTACCTGGTCAAGCACCGAATCAAAATCCTTCACTTATACCATATTGGTTATCATTAAATGCTGATGAGTCTATTCTTGCTATCATTCTTTTACAATTAAATACTGCTGAATGTCTTATTATACTCTATGATGTTGTTAAATTAATTCAAACAGTAATATTGAAAATAATTTTTTTGTTTCGAAATCGAATTTTTTATTTTAGCCAAATTCTGCATTAATTTGTCCGCCTATACGTTTACCACAAAATGCTATTGGTGATAGTATTCAAAGTTTTGCGTGGAATCCAGCTAATCCGATTGTATTTGCGTATATTGATGGATTAGGATCAGTATCATGTTTTGAAATTGATAAACAATTAAAACCTTTAGGTCAAATTCTTGGAAATGGTGATAATTCATCAAGTAAGATCTCATAATTATTATTATCATTAGTAATTTTTATTTTATTTGAATAGTTTGTTGGAGTCCAAAAGGAAAACAAATTGTTGTAGCTAAATATGATGGTGCATTAGAATTATATGAACCAAACATGCAATTAAAAAAGAAATATCCATCAGCTATAATGAATCCTTCATATCCTCCATGTATTAATGTTCTTTGGTTATCAACTCATCAATTTCTACTCGCTTTTTCTGAGAATAGTCCAGAAGAAGGTTCAAATGAAAATTCATTTTTTCATATTTTAGTTACATATAATAAAGTAAGATATACTTACACGATATATTTTTTATTGTTAAATTTTAAAAGGATCAAACACCTAAAACACAAATTTATAATGATCTTTTTTTTGATACGGATGAGGCTTCGATGGATATTAATCCACAATATTATTATGTACGATTAAATGAAAGGTATTAAATTTTACTTGTTTGATTTTTACTAAATTTTAAATTATGTTTTTTAGTAAAATTATTATAACGGGACTTTCAAAATCTCTAAAAATCAATGTACTTGGACCTGATGAACTCAATGCGGTATGTACATATATTCCTTCGTGGATGTTCTCATTTTTTAACTTCATGGTTGTTTCGGGGTCCACCTGGACCCGCTCATGAAAGTTCATCGAAAAACAGTTTTAGCGTCACTAAAGCTTTTCATTTGTATATTATTAGGATATGAACGCATTTCGTGCTAAGCACTGTAAAAGAGCTCCGTAGTACAAATAAGGGTTGACCAGAATCTTTTGAAAATGATATTGATATAAGCTGAAAATGACTGATTTCACGCTCTTTTTACCAAATATGTGAGTCATTATTATAAGTAGCGAATGCAAAAACCAATCGAAACAAATCGTTAGAAAGGAAACATCAGTACGAGAGGATAAATAGCAGTAATATCACCATATAAAATAAGATTATAGCATCATAGTTGTTATGGGGTCCACAAGGATCCGTAGCTGCATTTTTTTCTCCGTTAGACCTATTCATGATTTCTCATATGGGTAGTGTGTACCAACAAAAGACTAGAGGTTAGATGTGAGAACCGATCGGAAACAGAAACTCTTAAGAGTGAATTTAGTAAAACGCTGCGAAGTGGGTCCTCTTCTGCGCAAAATATAAATCTTCCTATTCATTCACAACTAATCTCGATCGATAAATTTTTCACACACATCCACATTTACCTCATAAAATAAGTATGTGTTAAACATGACATATAAATAAATACTTACATCTTTAGATAAGAGCATGTATAAATTATTTCATACCATGAAATATCACTATTGATAAAGTGATGATACCGCAGTTTGTAATGTATTCTTGTGACGTATACAATGCAGTGAAGATTTGGGCCAGTGATCGATTCAGCGTGCATGTACACACCCCTCGGGAAAGAAGTACCTATAGGAAAGTACGGGAAAAATTTTCCTGCAGTTGTGCTTACCGCCTAATAAGTCGGGCATGCTCTTGGGTCGGTTGATCATTTTTCGTTTCTTACACAACACTCACTCATCGACCTTAAATCTCGCGTATTATAATAGCTAGTACTTTGTAAGTCCTATAATTTATCACTACATTAAAATCATGACTTTGAGAAATATTGCAATAAATAAATCAATTAGTTCATATTAAGAAAGTAATCTATACTGTCATTAGTAAGATAAATAAATTTGATATCAGATCGATTTACTCCTAATTAATATCTGTCATACAGAGTAGGATGATCCAACTGTTCAAATGATCCTCCTGCGTACATTTTGTTATTATATATTTATATTAAGAAAATATCATATTTCATGTTGAATAGAATATATAAAAGAAAAGCTTTATTTTAAAAATCTTTTTATGACAAATAATTATATGTTTACAAATACAAAAAGCATAATAACAACGGAAAAAGTAAATAAGAAAAAAATGAATATAAAGACGTAGAAAATGATGATAATTTGGGATTGACTTGTATAGGTGGTGGTGATAAAATTTCTGTTTTTAAAATTTTTATTTTTCTTTCTTGACATAAATGATCATTATTACATAAATTTATATTCGAACAATTTAAATAATTTTCTAATTCATATAAATGTATACCTACATCTTGTTGTTTATATAATGATGTATCATTTTTAAATAAACACATTTGATTTAATTTAAATATTCGATTAATATTCGCATTGATTTGTTGTCGTTTCAAATGAAATACATTCATTAATTGACAATTACATTGTAATTTTATTTGACTATCTTGTATAATTTGTAATTGTGGATAATTAATTAATAAACAATTATCTAATGGTGAGATTTGTGTATGTTTAATATGTATTGATAAACGTTGAAGATTTTCAATACCACAAAAAGCATTTTTATCAATTGAATTTAATGGATTACCTGATAATGTTAATTGACGAAGTTTCGGTACATATTCAAATGTATATTCATCAATCGATTCAATTAAATTTGAACTTAAATCAATATCATCAATTGTATTTGAATGTAAATTTTCAATTGTTTTCAATTGATTATGTTCAAAAAGAATATATTTTAAATTTTTTAATTTTCCTAATGATGCAATTAATGGTTGACTATGAAATATATCTGGTAGATGTCGTATAAGTAAACGTTGAAGAGATTTTAAATATTCAATTGGTAATAAACTTGTTTGATGTGTATTTGTTAAACTTAAATAGGTTAAATATTCACCAATTGAATTAATATCATGATAACGATAATTATCTAAATAGATATTGATTAATTCTAAACGATATAAACGTGGTAATTGTTGTAATAATAATTCTAGATTTAATTTTTTATCATGTTTATTTATTTGATGATAATGAATATTTTTTAATGTTAAAGATTTTAAAGTTTGAAATGAATCGGATATGAATATATCTTGAAAATTTTCATTCGATGTTAAAATTGATTTTATTGTTGAATTTTCTAAATAGAATTTTTCAAATTGTTTTATATTTATAAATGATTGATCGTTGATATTAATTAAATTACAATGACGTATACGTAATGTATTTAATGTTAAATCATAAAATGGTTTTAATTCAAAATTTAAATCTTCTAAACATGATTCGATTTCAATTGATTGATAATTTATTGTTGAGAGAAAATTTGGAAAATTTGTTTGACCAGTACATTTTAATGATATTGTTGATTGACCATTGATTGAAAGATCTTCACATTCACATTGTTGATAAGATGATTGAGATGAATAGTAATCCGAACAGATCGATGATGATGAGAAATGAAGATTAATTAAATTTATGAGAATTAATAGAAATAAATTCGAGCTTAAATACATCTGAAAAAAGAATACAAATATATATATATTTAATCTAGATAGGAAAAATTTGTTTTATCGTTATCATGAGAAAGAGTGTGTTTCCGTAGTTGTTTTGCATGCAGATTTGATAAGAAATAGATATCTGATTTCAATAAAATTATGAACATATGGGATATTTATTACATACCGAGACTCGTGAGAGTATTGTCTCTGATGTCATAGACTACCTACAAGTAAATTGTTACTCTTTCGAAAGTTTTAAAATAATGGTTAATCTATACATGTGAATAGTAACTAACAAGAAAATGATTACGCAAATGTATTATCTTGTCTCAAGTTAAGAAAATGTCTTTGAAGAATAAAGTTTAAAAGAAAATCCTAATCTTTTGTAATGCGATATCTTCTATGTACAGATCATTCAATCAATAATTAACGATTAGATAGGTTCATTATGAATATAACGAAAGATGTTTTTATCAGTTAATATTGTTTAGTTTATATAAGAAAAATGCTTTTATACTTTATAATTGATAAATCTGATTTTGTACTCTTTTTTTTTGTTTATATGTCATGTTGATAGGAATGTTTAGTCGAGATTTATAGATAAGACTACGTGATATATACAGAAAAGAGAATGTTCATACAGAATAGAGCAGAGAGATCAATCTTTATTCGATAGAGTTGAACTTTAACGAGAAATATACAAGTTAATCTTTCAGAAACGATCATCATCATCATCATGATTCAGTAAATTATTACCTGAGGAAAAAAGAAGTTTTTTTTCTCTTTTTCTTAAGAATTGTTACATATTTTATTACTATTATATAAAATAAAAATCTGTTGTCATTTATGACTTCTTCAAGTAGCATTTATCAAAAAATAATAATAATATTCTTACCTTTCAAAACTCATTCGTGTTAATTCAATATTTAACTTTATAATCAAATAAAAAGCTATCGGAAATGACATTAATAAAACACTAAATGACTTTATCGTCGTTTTCTTTTATTCCTATGCACATATAGTCAAAACGATAGAAATAAAAAAGAAAAAGAAATGTTTAGAAAGTAATGTATCTTCTATGTTTTTTTAGTTATCTGAGACTAAGTATACTACGATTGATTGCCAATTGATTCTCTTAATATGCTCATAAAGAAGATGGTTAGTTAAGAAAAAAAAAATTTACATTCAATCACATACCGGAACTGTTGATCTTTTCTTTTTTTTCTTCTTGTTTGAGTAAGAGAATATATAATATAAATGTTCATTCGTCCTCTCCTTCGTGCCTATTACTTGTAGGGCACCATCACTTGAATCGTATAGTAGTAGTAGTGGCTATTCTCTCTCGTCTTATTCTTACTCTTCTGGTAATCAGCTTCGCGTCGTTGAGGCTATTTTTTTTCTCTCTTGCTCTTATTCTCTATCGCTTTTTGCCCTGAATTAAAGAAAAGAGAAAATGTTAAGAAGCGGAAATGCACAACAATAAGACGACTATCGGTCAATAGAATATCCATTTCAAAAATGCTCTGTTATATATATATGTATACATATATATATATATGCGAGGTGAAGGTAATCTATGTGCACATGCACGTCAATAGATTTTTTTAAAACTTTACACGCTATTGTCAGTGAGATAGACAGATGGACATATAAGCTCAAAGGAGACAGAGGTAAAAGACTAAAGTTGAGTATGAATATATATATATATATATACGAAGTTGACATGAAGTCATCATCCATCATACATTATTTGAAATGATAATATGTATGTATATTGGTATACTTTCTTCTCATTTATTTGTTTCTATCTTATTAAATTGATATCGAAATGATAAAAACTTAAGTAGGATATGATTATATTCATAATGAAACAAGAAACCATAGAATTTTCATAAGAAAAGTAATTCATTAATACAAATGCACGAGCGAACATAGCAAATAACTTACCATTATACTGCCACTTTTCTCGTAAGATGTACGTCTGTATGAGGTGGGATGTCTGTTCAATGTTCACTTTTTCTTTCTCTCTCTCTCTCTCCTCTTCCTTTATCCTCGAATTCTTTCTCCCACATAGATGCACACATTGCTCACCACATCGTCAAGAATAATGCCATTTTCTTTCATTAAAAACGAACTGAACAAGTGTCCCCCTCTTGTCGTTGGTGGTGGTACGCGCCTAGTTATATTTATACATATACATATTCATATATGTGGTATGTGAGTCGATGTGATGATGCAATAGTGTGACTAATGGATTGAATACGATGGCTAAATGAAACATGAAAGCTGTGTGACAATGTCTGGTCGAAGAAAAGCTTTTAAAAAAAAACTTATCTATATCAAGGATATATATATCAACTGTTCTATATAAAATTGTCGCTTATTCTTATTCTCACTATTAAAACTACAAAACTGCGTAATCTTATTCGTGCACATAAACACACGCGTTGATTACATAAAAAAAAATCTATATGATGGAAGTTACGACGTTGCTATCTTTTCTTTCTCATTCGATGTATGTCTAATTCCTTTGTTTGACCAAGGCAAGATCGAAGCTTGATGTTGTAATCAAGTCTATTCATTTTTCGCTTAAATGCATTCATTTTCTTTTCTAATAAATTCACTGTCATTCACTTGTAATTGATAATAATAAACAGAGCTCATCAACTTGTAAATGCAAGATGACCTTGTTGCATTCAACTGTTAAGAAAAAAAAAATGAGTTTACGCAATTGGTATAAATATTTTTGTAGTTATAATGATCGTGTAAAGCATTTAAGATCGTTTTTCTCTTACTTGTTATTCTCATATATGTGTATATATATATATCTATATATATATATATACATAAACAATGAATAATGATGATCTTATTAATATAGTCAAGATGTGTCCACCTTGAAATAATAAGCAGATAGAAGTGATTGAAAAGAAACATTTGGAAGAGAGAGAATGAATATGGATAAGATAAAAAAAAAAGTCGAAAGAAAGAAAGGAGGAAGAAAAAAAAAAGGAAGCTGAATATTCATACAACACTCATCATTCACTTGTCCTTGACCGATTCTAGTTCATCGAGAACTTTTTTTCTTTTCTTAGCAGAAATTTGATGCGATTTATAAACTAGTAACATTCATTAACGTTATTATGTATGGGAAAAGATCATTCGAAAATGTCGGACTCGTTTCTTTATTCTTAATCGATGTGAATAAATTAATGATATGCCAACACCACAATCATCATCATTACTTTGTCCAAGAACATACCACTACTCAGCAGGCCATAGTCCGAATACTGCTTAATAAGGCGTCCATCTCATGTTACATGAACATACATATATATATATATATATATACGAACGCGTATATATGTATATATATGCACGCAGGGCGATGCTATTTACCTTGAGTAAGGTGGCTCTATCGATTGATGTATGCGACGTTCGAATAGTATAAATACTTGAACTGTCTTCGTTCTATCTGCTAATTGAAATGTTCGAGTTGATCGAACATATACAATGCTTTTTTTTATTCGCACCTCGTGGTTCATGGTCAAATGTTAGATTGCTGACGTAAAATGTTCCCTGATTCGTATACAGCTGGTTCTGTTCTCTATCCTAATACAATTCAATAAACATATAAGACAGTAGAACAGAGGAAAGAAGAAAAAAAAGAAACTCGCGGTTCACTTCATTTTCTTGTCAGAAAAAGAAACAAAAAAAAAAAGAGAGAATTTTATATTGACAGTGTTTATGAAGCTAAAACAATTCTTAACTATTATATGATCGAGACAATTTTCATTCAAGCATGTACCAGATGTGTTTAACAACGCCCGAGAGACCGTGACACAAGTGCGGTTAGTTCTATTTATCATAGAATTAGTTCAAAGTTGATGATTAATCTTCTCACGCATTGGAACCATCTGTCAAACAAAAAGGCAGAATATAACAAGAGAAGAAATTCATCCCGAATCTTGATAAGAAATAATATAGACAAGCATGCGATTATCATGAGAAAAAGAAAATGGATAATGAGTATTATGATTATTATCATCGAGATCAAAAAAAAAAAGAAAAAGAAAAGATTCAAATCTTTTATCAATTTAATTTTTGTTTTCTTCTGTATTTCAATAGGATTCTCTTAATATATGGACATTTGATGATAAATTTCGAGCTACTGTTAAAGGTTCAAGTAATTCTAGTAATGAACGACCTATACTTACTGGCATGGCATGTGGACTTAATTCAACGTTATCTATAGCTGAAGGCACGAAGAAATTGCCTCCGTGTCCAGTCTTACTTCTTTCTAATAGTGATGGTGTTTTACAAGTCTATTATTATATTCATAAAGATTTACCATCTATATTGCGTGCACCTGAAGTAATCAAGCAAATTCAAGCACCTACTATCCTTGGAACACCAGCATCATTACCACAAACATCAAATATAACTTCAATTCAATCATCATTTTTACCATCACGTAAGTTTTCCTACTTACTTTACATAGGAGATAGAGAGAGAGAAAGAATATTTTCTTACTATTTATACTATTGCCCTATCTTTGTTAGTTTCGAGAAAATGTCGAGAAAATAACAACAACAATCTGTTAACCGAATATGATCATCATTAAGAGAGAGAAGAAAAAAAAGAGATATTACATCATATCTATTCGGCATGGATTTCTGTAGTGATGAGTCGAGTGTCAGATAACAATCATATAGGAAAAATAAGGAAGAAGATTATCTAATAATGAACAGAAAGTTCAAGTAACAACAACAATCATCTAAAAAGATTGTATTAGTCTATTATACAGACAGATAATAATGTAAAACATTTGTTTAATAGAATACATCATTTCTTTTGACAATAATAGCTCATCGAAAATAATGTTATGATTTTCTTACCTAAATCTTTTTATTTAATGTTATCAATAACGACACAAACACTCGATATATATATATATGATCATATAACACAAAAGAAAGAAAATATGTTGTTTTTTTTTCATTAGAATTTGATGA